AGAGAGAGAGAGAGAGAGAGAGAGAGAAACCAATAGAGAGGGAGATTGAGACAAAAAGAGTGAAAGATACATGTATATAGATATCAGGGGCGGCTCGTGTGGCTAAAAAGTGGACGTGCACAATTTGAATTAATTAAGCTATCGGATGCTGAGGATAGTCATTGGCATAGTTTAAATGAGACTGTGTATAATTTTAAGATCTTTGGGTTGGTGAGGGTGGACCTCGTGTTTTTTTTTTTACTTTCATTCTTTTTGCTTGCCGATTTAATTTCTAGTACTAAATTTGTTTGTTAGCTAAACATCAATTTCGTTAATCCTGTACTGGAACTGAACACCCAAGTAATAACTTTCACTGCTCCACTACAAAACCATTAAAAGGCACAACTCAAAAGACGGTCACGTTCACCTCCCTCGGGTTCACGGTCACAGAGTCACTTAAAATAGTGGCAAGACAATATATCCAATCACAATTCACTTGAGCAGTCCGCTGGATTGCTCCGGGGCTCACATAATATTGGCAATTAAATAACGTACGGTCTATCGCGTTTATTTTTAGGCTTTTTCTATTTATTATTTTTTAAATTTTAGACTATTTTTATTTTTAGACTGCCTACTACGGGCTATGCTTCGGCACTATTCGGCAGGAGCACATTTGAATAATATATTATGCAGTTTTGTTAATAGTATTAATGTACCGCCAAACTCGCTACGAGTGTCGTCATCGTTTGGGTTATCCGCAAAAGCGATTTATAGGTCAGGTTACACTGTTGAATATTTTATTATGTTTAGCTAAAGCGCGTGGACTTAGGCATGGCATAATAGATGTTTTACAGCGCTATAGACACAGAAATACGTAATTAAACATTAAAAAAATTTGGGCCGTACTGCACGACCGTGCTCTATGGACGAACCGCGCCTGATAGATATACAGAAAGAGAAAGAAAGAGAGATAAATAGAGAGAAAGAGAGATAGATAGGGAGGGGGAGATAGATAGATAGAGTGTGAGTGTGTGGGTGAGAAAAAGAGAGAGAGGGG